TTGCCACTGATATTTAAAGCGAGTTTTTTGGGCAGTGTAGAGTAGGGCTTGTTGTTTGTCATTTCTCCGATCACAAATGCAGACATGGTTTTATGTTTACACGGCGCGATGCAACGCAACACGTAAAAAAACAGTATAAGTCATTATAATCAGTAATTATGTCCCCACTGGATGCTACAAATGCCTCGTTTGTAATGGGTTTTATTGGTTTTGTCTCGTCGCACCACGGCATCACAGTATGGTTACATAACATAACATTTCCATCACACGCTTGAGGTATTCGGCCAATCACAACGCACTGGATAGCTGGCCAATCAGTGTACAGTATGTGGAAAATAATGTGTTTTTTAAACCTTAAACCGCATAAACACATTTCATTACACCAAATACACCAAATAATGTTCTTTTTTTAGCAACGTCATATGACCCCTTTAAACAAACCAATCAAAATATTCTGTTGGTTTGTACAGCCCACTTGCAGCTTTGAGCCTCCACGCGCCCCCGAGTGGACGAGGCTGTTTTATATCCCCTGGAAACGTGTATGTCTTTGGTCACGCTCTGTTGTAGCTGACGCTTCTCCCGACTCAACTACTAGTTCAGTGTAAGCAGCTTTAAATACATATTATCTTTTTTTTTTATTTGTAAAGTTCCTCAAATAGGATACACCAGAATGTCTCACACTGTCGTTACTACTACAAGCACAACAACAACATCCTCATCGGATGGAGGATTTTGCAACATCGGGTATGCGCGTTCATTTCAAGGATTACTGAAAATCGGCCAAGTGGTAAGAGAAAGTTATACTTGTATCACATTTATTTTATGAAGTAAAGGTAGACGAATGCATAGAATCCTTAATGTAGGGAAGATAGATGGATTAAAGATGGTAACTGACTCTTTTACACCACGATGCTTCACTGACCGACTAACGCAACTCTTCACTAAACTTTCCATGAATACATTGCTTATGCACTCACAATGAAGGATCAGTGCATTTATTTACAGCAGCACGTCTAATATTTATTTTGGAGAAACGTTGGAGAAAAAAAAAGTCTCCAAGAAGTTAAGCATTATTTTCACTAACAAAAAATGCTAAAACGTACTGTAACATGATTTTACCATACTTTATGTTATGTTTTTGGGCAGTAGTCTACCATGTTATTCTTTAGGAGATAAATCTGAAAACTTGTGCTAACTAAAAGTTTTAATCTAACTGTACTAAAAAACAATCCCAAAAAGTACCATGATATTCTTTAAAGAATGCTGGATTAAATACCATGGTAAATTAATCTGATAATCATTCCGTACCTTGGTGTATAATCACAATTAGATGTAGGCCTATCTCTCCCTAATCAGTTCAACAGGAAACAACAAAGTTCACAGGAAAAGGCTCTTTTGTGTGTGTGTGTGTGTGTGTGTGTGCGTGTGCGTGTGTGTTTTCATAAATTTCTCAACCTTCTGTGCAACAGCTATTTATTCTCAAGTGAGAAATGCGTCATACTTTAAGCTTAAACTGTAATATAGACCAAAACAAACATCACTGTAAAACTAGTAATGGTATTGTTGTTGTTTTTGATGTTATTTAAATATTTGTATGCATACTGTAAATGCTTCATTAATTAACAGAACTTTCGAGTGAACTGTTCATGAATACTATATGTATAATTTGCTTATGTTCGAACAACACAATATACTAATATATTTCTGTTAAAGGAAAATTGGTGAAAAGTATCCTGGAAGTTAAAGCTAAACCTCATTTTCACCAACAAAAATTATAACATGTACTGTACAATGTTTATTGCTATGTTTTTTAGGTTTGAATATGTGTCATACTATTAAAATATATATTTTTTGGATTCATGACAGTGTCATGGTGTTCTCTAAAGGGTATGAATCTGGAATAATACAATTCTTCAAAGTATTTTGGATTAAATACCATGGTATGGGATTATGGTAATCATTCAGTATCAATCAGACATCATCACTGTTCCATGGTACTGCTGCAGGAGGGAGGACTTCCTCAAAATAAAGTCTTTATTACCACTTAAATAACACTAGTGCTTTGGGGCTCAGAGTGTGGTTTAGGGTGTGTGTGTTCGTGTGAGTGTGTAGAAGGTGATGACAGGCAATGGTAATTTGTTAAGACTCACACACTCTGGATGCTCAGGAACAGCCGGCTGCTAAAATGGTTGCAGTGATGAGAGAGATTGAGATATTTGCACTGCAACATGTGGGGCCTCTGTGCTCAAAGAGGGCTAAACACAAAACCCACCAAAGCCAAAGATGAAACATTTCAGATAGAAGATAAATGGTTTGACAACAGGATTTCTTTTTTCCACCATTCACACATTTCTACTTAATCGGTTCAACAGGAAACACCAGTGTTCACAGGAAAAGAAACCTGTGTTTTTTTTTAGTATTTGCATTAATTATTTAACACTTCTATGCAACAAAGTGGGAAATGCATCATATTTTAACAGTATTTAATGGTACTATAGCACTAAACAAATATGATTTAAAAACTAGTAATACTAGAGTAATATTATTGTTTTGATATTATTTAAAAAATATTTATCATGCATATATTTTTGTTGTTGAATTCTAATAGGCCAATATTATACAGAAATAGGACAATAATTAAATGTTTAGTCGTTTATTTTAAAAATCATGATTTAAAAAAGTAATTTCTTTTACATTTATAATTCTTAAATATGAAATAAATATTTTATTTTTTAAAAACTAAATCTAAATGAATTAAAAACCAGACATTTAAACTGAAAATATCAGAAACATAAAATTTTTTAAAACTTAATATTACTGAAGAAATTAACAGAAACTTCTTCACTTCTCGTTGTCCAAGTACTTTAATTTACTGAGTTGGTGAAATCCAAGGTTTTATTGAGCTAAAGCATTGCTACTTTGTTCTTTGTGTCAAAGTAAAAATATTAGTATTTCCTGTGAAGGGCACAAGTGAATTAAATTTACTACCTCTAATTTTGCAGGTGATCCTCCTGATTGCTTTCCTTTGTGTGCACTGTAAGGGGACCAATAATTACTCCGCCTACCGCTACTTTGAGGTGGTCACTGCATGGTTTCTCATCGTCTTCTTAATCTTCTTCCTCATGTATTTGTTTGGACTTCAAAGCAAAATCACATGCATCAACTGGACATTGACGGTACGTCGGCACAGTTAACATTTCACTTACACATCTTCTCACCGAAGATCATGGCATTAGGTGTCTTTTGTAATCTTTCAGAAAGTTAATGCTGCTTTTACATCTCAAATTAGCTCTTTATTGCTTTCACAGGAGTTTTTACATTATGCTGTGGGAGGAATCCTGGTCTTTATTGCCTCTATAGTTGTTGCTGTGAAGAGTCATGGGATCTCAGCTTTGATCGCTGGATCTGTGAGTGCCTTTTTATGCTTGCAGTATGTGCAATGCATGCTGCTGATTGGTCGGGGAAATGCACAAAGCCTTCTTGTGTATGGATGAGGAAGCAGGAAATGCGAATCGTTACTGTTGCATTACACTATATTTATTTGGCAGTGCATGTGCAATTCTAAGAAAGATCTATTAGGCATCAAAAGCAAATGACTGTTCATGTTTAGTAATAACATATGTGATTATAGAATATTATTAATATGTCACTAATGTCTGTTTTTACATAAACACAGGTGTTTGGCTTTATAGCTACTTTTCTTATTGCAATCAGCATATTGACTTCTTATAAGGTCACATGTGGCTCTCAACCAACTGGTGAGTCTGATCATGTTTTAATCATGTCATTTGTAAAATATGAAAGCCGTGAACAGTTTTAAGGAATAAAAAAAAAAAAAAAATGAATATCCACCTTCAGGCCATCCAAAATGTAGACAAATGTATTTGTTCACTGCAACAAATTTGGAGAAATGTAGCATTACATCACTTGCTCACCAATGGATCCTCTGCAGTGAATGGGTGCCGTCAGAATGAGAGTTCAAACAGCTGATAAAACATCACAGTAATCCACAAGTAATTCATACGACTCCAGTCCATCAATTAACATTTTGTGAAATGTAACGTCTAGTGAAAAAAGTCCATCTCTTGTTTTCATCTCACATCAAAAACCATCGACATAATTGTTCAGAACTGTTTGGACTGCTTTTGTTCTAAACAGCGCTTGATCTGTACATATTTCTTTCCTGATTGACCTTTTCACTGGAGAAATCGGTATTATGGATTATGAACTTGTATTTTAGCTGGAAGCAATTGGAGTCTGGACTGGAGTCATTTGGACTCTCATTCTGACGGCACCCATTCACTGCAGAGGATCCATTGGTGAGCAAGTGATGTAGTGCTAAATTCTCCAAATCTGTTCTGATAAAGAAACACACAACATCTACATCTTGGATAGCCTGAGGGTAGGGCTGCACGATTAATCGAATGCGATTGTCATGCGCATTTTGTTAAAAAAGCCGGTTCTGTAATCAGCAGGAAATCATCATCACGTGCTTTCAGATGGAGCAGAATTTGCTACACATAGCCGTAGTTCACTGACAAGTTACGCAAAAAAATCGCAGACGATTTTATTGCGCGATTCTGAAAACGAAGAAATCGTTCGCGATAATGACAGCTGTATGCATAACTTCTCAGTGAACTACGGCTCTGTGAAGATAATGCTGCTCCATCTGAAAGCATGTGAAAATACCACATTTAATACCGTAGTCGTGTGTTTATTAGTTACGTTGAATCAATGAAAGCAGTTGATTCTTCTGTTTATTCAGCTGCAGCGATAGGCATTTTCTGGGTTTCTTCTGCGAGGCGTATTTGGAGTTTCAGCGAGAGCGCCCTCTGGCCTTTGGATGGAGATTTACTGCTGATCACAGAACCGTGCTTCACTGAAAGATACGCATGACAATCGCAGCTTCTGTCGAATCGCGATCTCGATTCCATTTCGATTTATCGTGCAGCCCTACCTGAGGGTGATTACATTTTTAGCAAATATGAATTAGGGTGAACTGTTCCTTTAACAGAATGGACCTGTTGAAATTCATTGCATAATTTCCTGCTAATTCTCTCTTGAAGGTGCTGCAGTGTAACTGGATGGAAGACACTGTCTTATCAGATGAAAGTAGCAAGAAAAATTATCAATTTGTTCTGGAGAGATGAGTTCTTTAAGGACATTAAAGGGACATTTTCGGTTGTTTTTGAAGATGCTTTATGCTTCAAGAGTGGATTTCATCATCAAAATTATAGTGCCTCAGTGAACTTAATCGGCTGGGGTCAAACTTAGAATTTTTCAGAATTAAGACTGGTTTTAAGAGTGTTGATTTGATATATTTATCAACAATGTCTGAAACCAAAAGGGACCATTTATTCACGAGAATGTTTACATTATTTATTTGACAGTATAGATATCGTGTGATGCAGATTTGATTTAGTGCCTGTGATCAAAGAATATTTTGGCTGAAATTAGGTGTTCATGAAGGATTGATGCTGATCCACAGTATTATTACTATTATTACAAGAGTTGAAGTGTGTTTTTGCTTTTCACAGTATCTCTATATATGATATTATGATTTGCAACTGTAAAGTTTAAAGAATGTATTTTTGGCTTTCTAAATGTAAGTCCCTTTGTTTTATACACTGATAAAAAGAAAAGGTCTCCTGATGTTGTGTATGTTTTGTTGATTCTTTATTGATTTAAAATCAGAATTTGAGTCAGAACAAGACTTTTACTCATCCTCATGACTTGCTTTCTTATGTGGATTACAAAAGAAGATACTTTGAAAAATGTTAGTAACCAAACAGCTTTGGTTTCCATTGACTTCCATTATATTTTTTGATCATACAGTGGAAGTCAAAGGGAACCGAAAATGTTACCAACATTCTTCAAAATATTTTCTTCTGTGTTGCACAGAAAAAAATGAAGTCATACAGGTTTGAAATGACAGGAAGTTTAGGAAATTACAAAAGAATCAGAATTTTTGGGTGGACTATCCCTTCAAGATTTTTTTTTTTTTACTATTACAATTTTTTTTTGCATTGTTACATTTTTATGGCAAACACGAACAACATAATGCAAAAATGTAAATTTGTATTTATACTTGATTATACATCATAATATTTGTTATATTTTCTTTATGCTGATTTAAAAACAAATGCATAACAAAGAGATGTCTGGATGCATTACAGTAATGAGAATTATAGGGGCAAAGTATTAAAATGATTTTGTAATGCAATGCAACCCTTAATGGTCCTAACAGGCTTCATGCCCTTTATATCATTGTTTCTTTTGGTTCTGGGATGAAATATGACCTCGACAAGTTTTTGTGTATTATCCTATTACTGTTTAGTCAGATTGGCTTTAATGTAGCAAAAATCATGCTACCCATTAATATTTAAATGTTTAAGGTATCTTATCTGCAGAACTACTTAACACACAGTGACTCATGCTCACAACTTACGGTTACAGCAAGAGGTTATTGTGCAAAAACTACAGGAAACCCTTGACCTCTATCAGGGGAAGTGCCTCCAAAAGAGAAAGAGGGAAATATACTGACATGTGCTAGATCACTAATGGGTTGTTGTAACTCTGCTGCAGTGTGGAAGGGAATTAAATTCCTTAGGATAAACAAAGCCATTATCTATGGAGGGAAATAGAGAAATGAAGAGAGCTGCAGTCCTAGAGAGATTCCATCTTAGTATTCCAGCTAATTTGGAAACATGACTCATGCACATCTAAACTCCTCCTTAATGCTCTGTTTAGAGTACAGCAAGCCCAGTGAAAGAACATCTGTACCACTGGCTAAAGTAAATGGCACTTAAGTTCACAAGCACAACACTGAAATGCCCAAACAAACAGGAAAAAGAGGGAAATGGTTGGGATGCAATAGAGGAAGAAATGTACATTTCTCACAGTTGCAGGTCATACTTTACAGAAGTGCAATGGTGGAAAATACAACCACTGTGTGACCCACAAAAGCAGTTTGCTGCCAATATCAGTGTGCAGTTGGTAACATTTGAAGGATCTAAGGATTCTCAAATGCAAACTACTGTGTGTGTTTTGCTTCAAGTGAGCAAAGAGAGATTTGTCATTTATTGTTTTTGTTTTTTTATATTATTTTTCCATTGTTGTTTAGTGTTATTATGTGTAAGGGAGTAAGAGATAAGAGAACTTGATGTTATACACCCCAGATGTATTCAACTGTGGCATGTAGTTGAATTAAATAGAAAAATGTATATAGCACTGTGGATTTTGACGTGCGTGTTTGTTAGAATGAGTCTGCCCTCTTGTGGTCTGTTGCAGGCTTCAGCGCAGCAAAGTGATCATTAATTAAAACTAGAACTCAAAACATTAAAAAGTTTTAGTTACTTTAAGTAAAATTAAATTACATAATAATAATTGAAAACCCTTAAACTTATTTTATTTCCGCTGTTTTCAGGGCATCATTTCTCATTTTCATTTAGTTTAACTTTAGGTACTAAAAAGCTAAAACGATATATATTAAAATGAATAAAAATTGTAGGCATATTAAAAACAACAACAATAATAAAAATGTCGAAAACACAACAAAAACACTAAAGCTTTAACTACAGTGAAATTGAAATAAAATCTAATTCAAAATATAAAGTATATATATATATATATATATACAGTATATACATTCTTAAGAAAAATGGTTCTAAACAGTACCAGAAAAGGGTTCTTCGGCTTGTAACAACAGCAGAACCCTTTTTAGTGCTAAATAGAACCTTTTTTATAGGGTTCCATATAGAACCATGCTTTGAAAATGCTATATAGGACCTTATTGGTGTTATAAATAACCTTTTTAATTATAGTTTTTAATGAATATTAGTATGTTAATATCATTAATATTAGTATTATTTGTAAATATTATTTATTAATATTGTTTTTTACCCCTCTATCTGCCTGGTCTTATAATATCTTGAAGTGTCTATTAGGGTTTTACATAAAATCAACAACAACAACAACAACGTGTCAATTAGGTACTTTTTTAATGACGTGAAATTAGCAAAAATGGCAGTGTTCTAATAACAGTTAATAGTAGAATACATTAATGAATGATAATGGACATTGAACATAAATAAATGCTTAAAGAAATAAAACAAAATAGAACATAAAATAGTGCATTGAAGACCAAGCTCCAGTGAAATATCTTCACAATCCTCTATGATGCCTCTAAGTTAATCATTATCTGTATTTTGGTGTGATTGAATGGCAGTTTCTCTCTGTAGATGACAGTTCACAGAGTTAAAAGGAAAAAGTAATAAAGTCATAGGATAGCTGGGTATGTTTATGCATAAACCCTAGTAATAAAAAATATAACTAACAAAATGGACCATAAATTCAATATCTTTGTTACTTAGCTTGCACATGGATCCGCACGTCTCACGTCTCGTCAGCCTCGTTACAGTGTCCATGTGTTTGTGTAAAAACAATTATGTTTATCAACAGTGTTGGGGGTAACTCATTACAAGTAACTCATTACATTTTTTCAAAAAAGTAATGCCAGTTACTTTGTTTTCCCATTTATTGACTGACAAGTCTCCTGTCCCCATATTGGGAGAAATCGGAAGTGCAGAGGAATTGTGTGCGCTGTGTGAACATGATGTTACTGTAGTACTAGACTATATATATATATATATATATATATATATATAAGCCTTTATTAATTCTCTTCAAATCACAAACGGGCATTATCATTGTTGAACACGTCCACAATGACTCCAAGCAGCATCGAAAGATTATATATACAAACAAAATACTTACAAATGATAAAAACTGAAATATCTAAAAATAAACTATGCATAAACTAAACTTAAGGGGGACCAATCAATATATTGCAAGTAATTTAGAGAGTTTTAAAGTGTTCAATTTGTCAGCTGCTTTAAGGATTCAAATAATTTTCAAATGTCACAAAACTTGGAGCAACTTGAATGAAACTTCCATAAGTCAGTGATACTGGAAATGACTGACCCCTGGAGGTGGTGCTGCAGGTCCTATAGATGCCTTCAATGTCTGTTCAATGCCAATGTCTGTGTGTACATTGGCATTTATTATTGACTCCAAACAGTAATTACAGGTGTGTGTGTGTGTATGCTAAGACACAAAGTGCATGAAAATCCTACTGCCTTTCTCACAGGATCAACTCTTAACAGTAGGTTTGTAATAGTCTGGATATTTATAATTCATGTTTTTGGATTCTAGCCAAGTGTAGTTTATGTGTATCTATGCAAAGTTTATCAGGATATTCAGGCCTACGCATAGCTAACAATAAAGTTCATTGCTCTTTGTACCGTTTATCATTTATTTTGTAAAATGAACTTCAATATGAAATGTGGGAGGATTCAAACTCTAGTCAGTTCACATCTGTCTTTACAAAAGTTTATTTCATTATACAGAAAGGTTAAGACCAATATAGAGATCTAATCAAAATCATTAAAGAGGAGAGAAACTGATGGATCCATAAAGACCCAGAGTATAAACAGCCCTTGTTAAAGATGGGAATTAAAAGCACGTTTTCTCATTAGCTGCTTATCAACATCATCTTCCAAACTCCAATGCCAAGCATTTTCAAAGTAAAATCTTTTTTATTACAAGAAAATTACAGCAAAGACCACATGCATGATGTGAAATGTCAGAATCCCTTGTTTTTCAAAGGTTGTTTTCATAGCCAGCATTTTATGCATCCTCAGTACAAACAATGGAATAATATCTCACATTTTTCGAATGATTTGACAAAATTACAGCTTGATTGAAATTGTTGCACAATAAAATACAACTTTTTTTCTTTTTTGTAATTTTGTTCACACATCACATATGTGACCCTGGACCACAAAACCAGTCATAAGTAGCAGGGGTATATTTGTAGCAATAGCCAACAATACATTGTATGGGTCAAAATTATAGATTTTTCTTTTATGCCAAAAATCATTAGGATATTAAGTAAAGATCATGTTCCATGAAGATATTTAGTAAATTTCCTACCGTAAATATATCAAAACTTCATTTTTGATTAGTAATATGCATTGCTAAGGACTTCATTTGGACAGCTTTAAAGGCAATTTTCTCAATATTTAGATATTTTTTTTTGCACCCTAAGATTCTAGATTTTCGAATAGTTGTATCTCCGCTAGGGCTGGGCAAAAAAAAATCTTTTTTGATTAATTCAATTCAATTCAATTCAAGTTTATTTGTACAGCGCTTTTCACGACACAAATCATTGCAAAGCAACTTTACAGCAAATTAAGTTTCTACAATATTTAGTGGTAGCTTATCAGTGGTGACTGTCAGTTAATGGAATCGAATCGGGACATCTGAATCGATACCCAGCCCTAATCTCCGCCTAATATTGTCCTATCCTAACAAACCATACATCAATGGAAAGCGTATTTATTTAGCTTTGATGTATAATTTTGAAATCTCACTTTAAAAAAACTGACCCTTATGACTGGTTTTGTGGTCCAGTGTCAGGGT